CCTTACACAATAGTTGACTTTAACAAGTACAGTTTTTGAAAGTAGAAAGGTTATTTGAAGGCTTGGTATCCCAAATTGAAACAGCAAAATTAAGCTCGGAAACCTAATAACCAGTCACAATCTAATACTGATAGACCACTTTCGCGTTATAAACCACCACACCACAATACTGCAATAATAGTTTTATCAGGCTATATTATCGATTCTAATTTCCTTGTTTCTTGTTCATAAGGTTTTATTCAAATTGCTTATAACTTGGTTTTTCATAAACAAGCTAAGGCAGATTGAGATCGATTGTCATCTTCTAAACCATGACATCATTACTTTACCTTTTATTTCTTCTTCTTTGCAGATTACGAATTTTTTTACAAAGTCACATTTCATTTCCCAATTTTTTTTTCTAGTTCGCAAGCTTTGATACTTGTAGCTGCCACGTTGTGTGTTGGGAAGAGATGTTAAGAAATATATTTATTTTGTTTTATTTATTAAGGGTAAAATAATATTTTTACTTTACCCTATATATAATCTCTTTCTATTTAGGTTAAAATAATAACTTTAAAATAAAGTGATTAATGAAACCCTAGTTTTTTCCTCTTTTATATTTATATTTCTCTTTGTTTAATTTAGATTGTTTAATATATTTTACTTGAAAATATATTAAAATAATATTTTTTATTTTTAAAATTATTTTTTATATTAATACATCAAAATAATAAAAAATAAAAAATTATTTTTTAATAATAATAAATTTTGAAAATTTTAGAAAACACGGTTTCAACTGCATTTCTAAACAAATTATGAGCCCAAAACTGCAATATCAAGAGGCTTTGTTGAGCTACTCTCCAAATAGTGTTTCTCTAAATTTTGAAAAAACCATTCTTATTTTTTTTTCTTGTTTTAATATATTAATATTAAAATTATTTTTATAAAATAAAAAAATATTATTTGTATCATATAATCGCTGATGTACCGAATCCAATCCTCTCTGTCTAAGCTCTTGCTCAACGTGTCCCATCTCCTGCTGTGATTAGAGGGTAATTATTATTGTGTTAATTTTGTTTTTTTCAGTTAAATAGCTCCTTTTGTTTTTATTTTAGAATATATATATACATATATATATATATATATATATGTTTGTATGTATGTATGTATGTATATGCATGCATGCATGTATGTATAATTGTATTTTAAATATCACATTTTTTTATTTATAAAAAATTATTTATTTTACATATAAAATATTTTAATTAAATATATATATTTAAATCAATTTTATTTTCAAATATATTTGTTAAATTACAACTATTAAAACTATCAAAATTCTAAACGAAAATTACAAATCACACATTCAAAATTTTACCTCAGCGTAGGACGTTATTGAGCTCTAATAAACTAAAACATTCTTGCAGATATTTCTTTTTTCAATATTTTATTGTTCATTAAATAATAGGTCATAATCCACAAAAAGTGCCTTCCTTTTTAATAAGGAAGGATTACTGTTTGACATCAAGTGGATGTCAAATATTAATTAAATATTAGCCGGCATTCATTTTGCCTCTTCGAGGGGTTTTTATTTTTTATTTTTCCATGTTTTTCGAGGGAATTCTTGCAGATTTTCTTGCTGGAAGGGGGTGTTCAATGGCCAGTCCGTAAAAAATATCCTTCCAATTATTCTTTGTAATTTACGTTCTCTATTTTTTTCTGGATGAATAATAAAATATTTGAATTGATATTTTTTTTTAAAAAATTATTAACAAATATCATTAAAAAATACATGAAAACTATTTACACACACTAAAATACATAAAAAATGGATAAATAAAAAATAAAATATTAAACAATATTTAAAAGCACCAAGAGATGTTGTGTGTTGAATAATAATATAAATTATATTTTAAAACTTTAGTTAACAGTTTAATTTATTGGGTTGAATTGGTTTTTTGACATGATACCAAAACTTTGATAACCAAGTGATCATAAGTTTGAATTTCAATATCTTTATTTATTTGATAAAAATTAAGTACAAGATAATATATGCCTGTGATATCTTGAAATTTTATCTAACAACTTAAACTATAGAATTGAATTGATTCTTTAATATTGCACTTATTTATTAATTTATGTTGTGGACTGTAAAAAAAAAAGTAGCATGACTTGGTATAGCCAATATATATTTTGTATAAAGTCTCATTTATATTTTTTTAATATTTTTTTTCTATTTTATTTCAAAATATTTTAGATAACATGTATCTTAGGGTTTGAATCTTAAATGATTTTCATTCCATTGTATTATCTTTAAGTTATCTTGCCGTGCAAGCTAACTGCCCAGAGGTTCCCTTCATGGAATTATTTTAATGTCTCTTCTTCTTATGATTTTCTTCTTTCTTTGCCTGTGTTTCTCTTTTTCAATAGACTTGTGAAGACGAGTTATATAAAGCTTGGCCATCAAAATAATGGCAAATGTAAATGGAAGGAGACAAACGAGTAAAGATGTTCTAACACCACTATGAGCTATGAGCAGAAAACATGAAAGATGGCCGAAAAAACAAACTTGAAAATCAAAGGCAAGCTATGAGCTCTTTTCTGCAGCTAAGCTGTCGACACACAAGATAGCCTCTCTCTTTATACAGACAAATTCAATACTTCGAAGTTTAGACGTTTCTGAATTTCAAGAAATCTTTGAGTAATTATGCATCCAAAAGTAAAGAGGTTAAGTAGACTCTGCTTTCAACATATATTACCATGTTCACATGGAAGTAAAATCCTTTTTTTATATATATTTAATGTGTGTTTAATATTGTAGTGCATGATATCTTTAAAAAATATTTTTTATTTAAAAATATATCAAAATAATTTTATTTTATTTTTAATATTAATACATCAAAATCATTTAAAAACACTAAAAAAAATCAATTTAATTCTGTTTTCAAGTGAAATTAATGCACTTTAAACTGCATCTTGAAACAAAAACTACTATAATCTCTAACACTTGCTTAGGAAAAAGAGTGTGAATTATCTTTTATACTTTCTTATATATCTTATATTTTAGGAAATTTTTCATTGTGTTGATGTTAATTAAAAGTAAAGAAATTTGAAAAAACATTATTTTAATATGGTTTTTAAATAAGAAATATTAAAAAAAAAATTATATATGCATCCGAATATTAAACACGGAAAGAAAAAATCAAACCCATCTGAATTCACACGTAAATAATCTCCCCTCCTTTAACGATTCACATTGCAAAGCTAGCCAACCAGGCCAGCCTAGCCTCATCTCAAACTTGTAGCACTAACTTGCATCATGCCCAACAAACATTCAAAAGATTCAATCTTTCTTATCATTTTGGTTTGAAAGAACGTTTGCAGGTATCTTTAATTGAATTTGATCAGTGGCCCCATGGGTTGACGTTCAGATGATAGACATTTTGGTTATAAATGAAGTCGCATCATTACAATCACTTTCACTCAAATCATGCAACTCCAGGTACAAACAAGAGGTTTATCTTTAACTGTATATGTGGTAAGAGAAAACTATATATGTACGGACAACATCAACTTATACAAGATTTACAGGTCGAGGAGAAGCAATTTCAGTCAGCAAGAAAGAAAATCAATTTGTAATTCATCCATCTTCAATTTCAATTTCAACTTCACTTACCCTACCTTTGTGCAGAGCTTCAGTCTCCTTACTCTATCTTCTGGGTATCAAGCAACATAAACTGTACCAAAATTTAATCCTAAATTTAATTTCCACTCGGCCCTTCTGTTATTAGAATCCATGCAAGATAGTTTGTATATCACGACATAGTGTTTTACTAGATTGATTGCCCGCACTTTGCTGCGGGTGATTTTAGGTTATGAATAAAAATACAGTTTTTTTACTGAAAAAAAATAACATCCATGAAAAATAATAATTGTTAGGCAATGATAAAAAAAACTGCAGGCAGGTATAATATTAAAGGTTTGATAATATAGATAAAGTTATAAATAACAATAAAATGCAAATAAGTTGATAGATTGCTGGGCACTGAAAGGAAAATATTGTTTGTAAATTATATTAAAATTACAGAGACAGCAATTATCTTATTGTTTTGAGAAATTATAATTCAAGTCATTAGTAGAGAAATTGGTAGTGCTAGGAAAAAAATTAAATAAATTATGTCAAAAAAGATAGAAAAGGATGTGTGAAAGGAGTGTGCTGCAAACATGTGTAACATAAAATAACATAGAAGAATAACTTGTAAAATAAAAGAAAAAAAGTTTGCTATAATTTGATTTGATTCTTTAGCTAATGTCCTTTTTTTTTACATGTTAAATAACTTCCACAAAAATATTTTTGGTTTTTATGAAATTTAAGGTTGAAAATTCGGTCCATATTTATGAATTATATAAAGTTAAATGTGTGGATGAGGCAAGAAAATAAAATTTTAGCATATTTATTTTTTTACATATTTTATTGTTACACATCTTATTTTTATCGTTACACTAATATGTGTTGACGAAATTAAATCACATGACCGCTAATAAAGATAAGAAGAAAAAAAAGCAACGAACAACATAACAACCATTGACAGAACATGAAAAACCCTTAAATCCAAGATCACAAAGATCCGAATCGACAATGAACATAATTCCAACAAAGACAAATTGACATAACCCAAAAGAGCGTATTACGCTAGAAAAAAAAATCAATAGCACAGTCAAAGCAAAGCAAAGTTGATAGAAAAGAGCAAAATGCAAGTTGCACATGTAAGAACATCGACAACATGTTTATGAGCCAAACTAAAGCTTTCAAACATAACGAACTAATGATAGAAAAGAAAAAAAAATAAACACATTGTAGTGTCCCTGCACTTTGGTGCGAGTGATCTTAGGTTACGTGTATGGAGACATAATTTTTTTGCAAGAATGAAAATAACATCTATTGGAAAGAAGTGATTGCTAGGTAATGATGAAGAGAATTGAAGCCAAGTCTAGTATGAAAGCTTTGATAATATAGATTAAGTTATAAACAACATCAAAAGTGAAAATAAGCTAGCAGATTGTTGAGCACTTAAAGGATATTGTTGTTTGCAAATTATATGAAAATTACAGAGACAATAGTCATGATAATATAGATTAAGTTATAAACAACATCAAAAGTGAAAATAAGCTGCTAGATTGTTGAGCACTTAAAGGAGATTACTGTTTGCAAATTATATCAAAATTACAGAGGTAGCAGTCATGTTCTTGCTATAGAAATCCAAATCCAAGTCATTTGTAGAGAAATTGCTAGTTTTCCTGCGATGTAAAGACAATAAATCCAAGTCATTGTTATTTGTATTTTTTGGACATGTTAAATAGCTTTCACAAAAATGTTTATGTTCTGTGTTATAGATGCAATTGAAGGTTGAAAATTGTCAACATTTATGCAGTAAATGAAGTTAAATATGTGGATGAAGCAAGATATAAAAATTGACCATGTTTTTTTTTTTTATATTATTGTATATACAGTTTATGTAATCATTATAAAACTTTTTTCAAAGCAATAAAAATCCTAAACTGAAAAAAAAAACTTTTTTTCTCGAAAAACTCCGGCATCATATTGTTGTGAATATTTCTTGAGGGAAGATGAAAGAGGGGAGCATTTGAAATCATGTGAGAAGAAACGAAACAAAAGTTTCTTGTGACATTAAAACATAATGAAGAAATTAAGTGCAGTGTATGCATGGATAGTGTGCTTTCAAAGCCTACAGCACCTGAAAGAAAGATTGCAGCCCTGCCTGAATGTGGATTATCCATTGTGCATATCCTGTATCAAGAATTGGCGTCATGGTTCCCCAATCTCTAGGATGACTTTAATTTACAGCATTCACCAAGAAAGTAACCATATTTGTTGCAATTGTTTAAGTAACATATGCACATATATAATTGTAATGATTTCTTCTTTATATGAGTATTTATTGTGTGCACTTAATAAATATGTTTTTTTTAATATTATATTCTTGTTAATATATGTATATCCTTTACTAATTCATTCGTTTTAATGAAAATTATTAATATTGATATATAAATTAGCCAAGGAATGATTTTTTCTCTTTTAAGAATTGTATTCAATGTTATAATTAGCATGTAAAGAAGAGAAGAACTCATCAATTATAAGCTGTGAAGTGAAGAGAAATAGGTAAATGTAAAATAATAAAAGACAAATAGAATTAGAAAATAAATAACAAATAAAAGGCATGTTGGACAAATTGGACAATGATTTATAAGAATGTGAGGTTAAAAATCAAACCTTTGAGGATGATGAGGATGTTGTCCGTTGTTTTTTCAAAGGAGGAAGTGAGTGATCAAATGTCTCAGATGTAGCTATGTCTCCTAAGTTTCCTTGGACTTCAATTGCTTTGTCATGCTCATCTTCATGACTATTGTAATCAAAGGAGTTAAAGAGATGCATGGCATAAGCATCATAGGTTAAGAACAATCAAATTTAGCACGTGTCAAGGACAAAAAAAAATGTAAAGAAAGTGTGAGGAAATGTAAACTTGCCTAAGTTGCTGTGTTGCAGCTTCAAAATCAAGTGCACGTCGTGCTTCACTGTTTATGCTTGTTTCCTTGTTTGGTGATATGTTCTGAGGTGGTGTCTCCAAGGAATTAGGAGCAATCCTAAGTTGTGTGATAGTAGTTTGTGGAGTTAATGGAGCTATAAGAACTTGTTTCATAGAGCTTAATGGAGTAGATGTCTTGGATGTAGCAGATGATTTAGTTTCTGGAGTTGGTGTTTCTAAAAGATGGATGCTCTTATTTGTGGTGTCGTCAAAGATATTAGTAATGATAACCTCACATCTGTTGGTGATGGATCTGAAAGCACCAAATCGAAGCTGAAAAATCATGTTTTTGTTCAACTTTGCTGCCATGGCAGGAGGAAGAACTGAGGGATCAATAAATTTTTTATCATAGACATAATGATGGGCTGATGATCCAAAAAAGTTCTCCGCGGTTTTCCCAAATAGAAGAAAATTAGTGACATCTTCTCCATCGGTAACAATGCATTCTAAGCGAAACCTATAATATAAAATTGATGACATGTTCATTAATAAGAAGTTTATGATAATGTATCCGAGGAATATTATTTTTTTTATCTAACATCTTAATATTGCTTTAGTTGTGAAATTAGATGAGTTACCATGGGACTGGAAGAGAGGTGATAGCATCATGATCCATGCACGTGTAATTTTTTTCGCCCCCACTAAGTTTTTTGTTGCATTTTGGACAGCTTGGATACCACCAGCCATTGGGAAAATCAAAGTCAACAATCGAAGCTTGACAGGTGAATCTTAGATGCTGGTAATGACAAGGAAATATATGTTTTAGGAATGTGGTTAAATGAAATTTAAAAAACTAATTATATGAAGAAGGTAAAGCATGTTATCAAAGCTAATAATAAAAGGGTTTAAAAAGTAACCTTGTGCTCATAAGGATTCATACAAAGAATCTCATGTATTGTTCTTCTATTTTCTTTGATTTGTTCCTCTATCGATAAAACAATATTTGATGATGAAGGGAGTTGTTGTATTTCAACAGGTAGTTGTGCAAAGCTGCATGTACAATCAATTAAAAAAGATAGTGAAAAAATAATTAGTTAGAAAAAAATTGATAATGGAAAAGCATAAGAGGGATGGTTGATATTGGAATAACTTACAAATGTTTATATGCTAAGCATTCTGGTATGTCCGGATTGAAGTACCAAAGAGAGGCGGCTGTATTGTTAAGATTTGGTTTTCCTTGTGAACAAAAGAGTTTTTTGTAATAAAATGAAAGGAGAATTAGTTGGATCAGAATGAAAATAAAAATCTTAAAAAAAATTATTTTTAGAAAAAAAATTAAATGAAAGTTAAGATTACCCTTAAATTCTGTGACACGAAATCCAGCAAACGCAATAATAACAGGAGATGGTAGGTTATGAAGAGCGAGTTCATTAAAATCTCTAGCACTATCACCCCAAAGAGTTATGCGAAGCTCCTCACCACTTTGAAAGAAAATACAAAACAAATTTGATCAATAAGCTTGATAAAAGTAAGGTAATTTGCATTTAATTTTTCAACTCACCGAATGTTCTCAAGCATGAATTCTCTCTTATTTTCGAGCGTCTGTCCACGCACCATAACTTGTTCAAGTGGTTGCAATGCTTTAAGTCTTCCAAGGACATCTTAAAAAACAGGAATGAATGCCTTTAAGTGATGTTATCAAGTTGAGTTCAATAATAGAAATGTTTTATAATAGGCTAAATGAATGAAGTAAATGCTAAACCTGTAAGAATTCTGGAGCCTTTTGATTTGGTCAGAATATGTGCATAGTCAATAAAATTAAAGTAGTATCTAGGAACATGAGGTGTAATAGCTTCAATGCCTGTAATTTTTGTGTTAGATTTGAGATCAATTACAGCATCATGGGCAACAACTATGTTTACTGCTCTATTTTCATAAGTATAGAATCCTTTGATTTCATAGTGATTTCCTTCAATAATTGTTGCTGCAAATGTTAGGAGATCCCTTGTTTTAGCTAAAGCTTGAATAGCTCCACCCTATATATATAAGAGATTAATATTGAATGAAAAAAATAATTGTTCACCATTCCAACAACCAAATGGATTAGAATTTTTAATGCAATATGTAATAAGGTTTAGAATTTTGAATGCAATATGTAATAAGGTTTTGTAAATTATTTAAAGAAGAGTTTTGATGACATTAGAAGTGAGGTATTGGTACTACTGGAACATTAAGTTAAAGGAATGATTTTAATAATGAATTTAAGAGATTTTATGTCTTAATATTTCTTAGAATGTTTAAATTGGTTGTTATGTATACAATCTATGAATTTGAAGGAAGATTTTCTAAGTTAACAAACATATATTGAGGTGAAGGTAAAACATTATTTCTAATAGGATGCACATATATTATAATTAATTATTGTAGACCATTGTATAAATGAAAGCTGTATATAAAAGATATATAGAATAAAAGATAAATATAGTTCTTGGTTGCTTGTAAATTCTTGTGTATAACTTGGTGTAATATACCTGGTAAACCGTGGCTCTAGTATGGAGTTGTAACTGAGATTTCCATGGTGAATTGGTGTAGTTAATAGTGAATGCATCATAAAATCTCTCAAAGTTTTAGATTAAATCATATCAAGTAATAGAATATATAAAACTTACCTGAGCTCTATGAAATTTTCTATGGATTATAGAAAGTAAATGCTATGCTTAGGGTTTGTCTGGTTTTTTAAACATGTAGAAAACAAAGTTGATTGTAAATTATAAATGGATGCTAAAAATTCATTATGTTATTTTTTTTTTACAATTTCAATATTGAAAAAGTTTTTTCCATAAGTTGAATAAGCAATTACTGGTTTAGTGGTGAACTTAACTATAGCTTCATAATAATTAATTAAAAAGGAAAGGAAACTTGGTTTTCGATAGGGAATCTTAAGAGCAAATAAGTACCTTTAGTTAAGTGAAAAAAATGTTAAATTGCCAAAATAAAGAAAATATTCAGAAATGAGTGGACATGTATTATTCAAACATTTAAATATATGAAAAATAAAATTTATTAGTGGTTATATCTTCATGATAAATTATACCTGATTGTCAACAAAAACACAATTAAAACTGCTTGGCTGACCATTAAATTTAGCAATCCAAACTCGACAGGCCCTAGCTCGTAATGAAGGGTAGAAGTTGTATTTTTTAAACTGTTTTATAGGTAGAGCCATTGTCCTGCAAATGATTAACAAAAAACAATATTAGGAGCAATGATAAAAATAGTAAGGCTAATATTAATAAAAAGAATGAGATGTATGACAAATATTTAATTTAAAATGAATGGGGAAAAACAAAAAATGGAAACATGCCCAAATTAAAAATGATGAATAAAAAAAAACAATTTCTTTTATAAAAAGCATCACCTTAGAAAAGAAAAAAAGATAGGGAGTAAAAGATTGACAATTAAATAACACGTGGTTCCGAGAGATTAAGACACTGATAAAGAGCTAAGAACATCTTTATACACAATGTTTTTCACATAGATTGAATGATTTCCTTCAGCATCGCATGTGATAATCTTTAGTCCTTGTCTTGATGTAACCCGTGAAAGAGCAACATATAATTGTCCATGAGTGAAAACTTGATCCTTGAGAAAAACCTCGACAACTTTCAATGATTGTCCTTGACTTTTATTTATTGTCATGGCATAACACGGTCTTATAGGAAATTGTCTTCGTTTAATTGTGAATGGACATTTTGCATCATTTATTGGAAAAACAATCCTTGGAATAAATACACGATTTCCAATAGAAGACCCTGTTATTATTTGAGCTTCTATGACCCTCTCAGCAAGTTGCGTAACAATAAGTCTTGTTCCGTTACATAAGCCAGCTGATAAATTAAGATTGCGTAAAAGCATTATTGGTGTGTCAATTCTCAAGGAAATTGTGTGGGATGGCACTCCATTGAACTCAAGTTGATTGATAAATTCAACGGGATACAAATATCTGCATTATCACCATCGCTCGATGTTTTGCAAACAGTATCAGTACTTAGGTAAATCCGCTTCATTCCTGGCAACATGTTTAAGATAAAATCATTGATTTCAGAAACTGTAGCATTTCTTGGAGTTACAATTGCTCTCTCTCTAAAATAGCATGGATCAATATTGATATCACGAATAGAGGGATATACAGCTGAAACAATTGCTAATATGGGGTTAGATCCAGGTTCAAGCAAAAGATCTTGCGGTATTTTAATCATGGATGCATCAGAATCATCAGGGAATAAAGCATCATGTTGAGTTCCATCACCAATTGCAAGAATCCAGTTGGCAAAAATAGCAAGCTCTTTCTTTTGATCATTTGAAAGTCCATTGGATGATAGCCTCCTAATCTCTGTAAGAGTGAGAACTTTAAATTTAGACCACAAAACAGAGCTGCAAAGAGATGCATGAACAATGTCTTCCTTTGTTCCTCCGAGAATAACAGGTAAAATCTGTCTGAAATCTCCTCCTAACAAAATTGATTTCCCACCGAATGGTTTATCATTAGGCAAGTCATTACCATTTGTTAAGACATCACGAAGTGAGCGGTCCAATGCTTCAAAGCAACACCGATTATTCATTGGAGCCTCATCCCATACAATTAGAGAGGTCATTTCTAGAAGGCGTGCAAGATCAGTTTTTTTTTTAATCTCGCACGATGAAGTATCAGAAACAGTAAGGGGGATCTTAAATCTTAAATGAGCTGTGCGCCCACCAGGAAGCAAAAGTGATGCGATGCCCGATGATGCAACAGCAAGGTCGATCAAACCATCTGATCTCAACCGATTAATTATTGTCTGCCATAAAAATGTTTTCCTAGTTCCTCCATGGCCATGAACAAAAATTAATTCTTATCTTTTTTCAAGGATAGATCTAACAACACAATCACAAAAATTTAGTTGGCATTGATTGAGTTGTGGGAAAGCTGATGAATGCTGCATTTAGTTGACATTGATTGAGTTGTGGGAAAGCTGACATATAAGATCTGCAATATCGTAGTAATTTAGTTGGCATTGATTGATGACACGACGAAAAGATTGATGTCTTCTCCCAAGTGCAGGAGTGTCGAAGTAATAAATAACCCGGTAAGACCGGGGTCGAACCAAAGCTTATTCTTTATTTCTGACAATAAACGCCCATCAGGCATTGGAAGCTTGTGTTTTTCAAGAGATGTGCCAGCAACATTGAAGAGAAGCTCAAGCTTATATAGAACATAGTTTTTAAGCTCATCATCGAATAATTTAAGATTAGGCATGACAAAGCTAGACTTGAAACGGGTGATAATATCATCATACATTGAGCGCCAGAATTTACTGAACAAAACTTCTGGATCAGCAACATCACAGAAAAGAACAACATTAACAAAGAGATTCCTAATTTGAGGAGATGTTGCAGTATCCATGGCCTCACAAAAGACGTCCTCCCATTCTTTATCATCCCCTAAAAGTCCCAAGGTCTTGCAAGCAAGTTGAAATGTTGGATGCACAACACCCTAAACATTTTTTAGATAATCAAAGCTCAACGCTCCTCTTACATGGTTAAGGAGTAGTCTTAGAAAATAGAGCTCTCCTGAAGCAGGGTGAACATATGTTAATCGACCAAGACTAAAACCTTTTGATCTTGGAATCCATTCTTTTTTACCAGGATCCCAAATATATTTATGTGGAAATTCTGAGTAGTAAAGTTGACGTGCTTCATGATCGATTCTATTACGTGCAAACCATTCTGTGAGCATTGTTTTTTTAATACCTGGTTTTTGAAGTACTGATGGTAGCGAGTAGTAAAGTTGACGTGCTTCATGATCAATTCTATTACTTGCAAACCATTCTGTGAGCATTGTTTTTTCAATACCTGGTTTTTGAAGTACTGATGGTAGACTTTCATTTCCCGAGTAAACAACATTTTGATGCAATGGCAAATGGATTTGAAGTCGCTCAACAGGAGGTGATCTTGAATGTATTGGAAATTCTAGAAGACGCCCGACCGATTCATATGGGCATATAAAACGACAATTCATATACGTATGGATCTCATCAGCACGATCTTTTTCAACAACAACTCTACATCTGTTAGAGCCCTTGCTTATGTACTTAAAAAGATACTTAATTAACATTGACTGACAACAGATCTCAATATTTATGTGGGCATTGTATCGTAATAAGAGTTCCCTATTATATGGAACAACATATCTGTTATTGAGCTGAATGCCATTTTTGATAACAAAATTGTCTTTAAGATCACGACGTCTGTAATAAACAAAGCCATTATCATCAAAAGCAGTTTGTGTCTTGAATTTTTTTGAGCAAATTCCCTCGTTCATGCACTGAGATTTTGGATTTGCAAGACCACATGGACCATGCATCATGAATCTTGAAACAATTTCATAGCATTTTGGATCAGTAAATTTGTCAGGGATTTTAGCTGAAATAATGGAATCAACATCTTCAGGTGTACGACATTTAAAATTCGAGTGTAGCCAAATCAATATATGAGTGTGTGGCAAACCCCTCTTTTGAAAGTCAATTGCACAAACATCTACAAAATAAAAACCAAATCAATATATGAGTATATGGCAAACCCCTCTTTTGAAATTCAATTGCACAAACATCTACAAAATACCAAATCAATATATGAGTATGTGGCAAACCCCTCTTTTAAAATTCAATTGCACAAACATCTACAAAATAAAAATAAAACTAAGCCAAACAATCCTAATAAGAATACAAAGTTGTAATGTTTAGAAGAAATGAGATAAAGATAAGGCACCTGCAATTATCTGACCAAAAGGCTTGCCTGATTTTATGAAGGCTAACATATCAATAACCTTCGATCTAAAAATACGTGTAATGATATCAGGCTTGTCTTCATGTTTGTAAATTCGACCTTTTATAAGCTCCCTTCGTATCTCCGGCCAATTAACATTACATGTGAATGTAATAAATAGGTCAGGATTTCCATAGGCTCTACATATAGCCATTGCATCTTGATAATTATTGATCATATAACGTGGCTACCAGTTAAAGAAGATGGAACAATGATTTTCCCAGCTGAGAAACCTTCAACATCCCCATTAAACACAGCTTCATGGATACCTTTATAAACTTCTGTACGTAAATCTTTTTTATTAGCTCTGATATAATCAAGACGATCTTCTTCAACATTAACAAATGCATCGACCAAGAATTATTGGTACAAACGACCTCCTTTAATGATGGTATTATCGCACCCAAGCCTTTCATTGATAAGGTAAGTGACACGATGAAAAAATTGATGTCTTCTCCCAATTTGATAAGGTAAGCATAATAAGCTCGCATCGGAACTCTTGACCTTTTCCTTGTTTTTTCAAGTCCATGATCAACAAACATAATATTACAGGAGTAGCCATCTTCACCATAAGGAAACAAAAGGGGATACTGTAATGCCATGAATTTTGGATGTAATTTTGAGATCCTTTTTAAAGAACCTGAGAAGCATTCAATAATTATATCTCGTTCCGAGAAAAAATCTCCAATATCTCCAACAACTAATCCACCAATGTCATTTGATGTAGGATCATCATATTGGCGTGAATCATGGCTTCGCTTTCCAAGTAAGCGAAGTTTATAATCAACAGATTGAATATTTTGAATAATTTGGCAAGCTCGTTCGTTTCATCAAGCATTCTTAAAAGATCCGTTTTGTCTCTAGCTTTGCGAAATAATTTGGCAAGCTCATTCGTTTCATCAAGCATTCTTAAAAGATCCACAACAATGTTCTCATCTAAAGATGATGATTTGGAGTCTCTTGTAAATGGTAAAAGTCTATTTGCAACTTCGTGAGCAGTGTCAAACACGTAGAGCTGTGCAAACTTTGGAGATTCTCCATCTACAGGTAAGAGAGAGCCCATTAAATGATGACAATGACCACTTATCTTGAACACATATGGAGCTGGTTGATCATTAACAAAAGTATCAATCTTTGCGCCCATTGATGTGAAAGCAAACATAGAGTTATAAGCTCGTATATTATCCCGAAATGTTTTTGAGGCAGAACCATTGCTGGGATCAAGAAGAAAATCAAGAATTGGAGGAGTTGGTTGCATAACTAGAAGGGAAACTCGACCATTAAGGCAACAAAGTGAGAAAGATGGATTCTTTTTGGATGAACGTGCAAGACGTTCTTGGAGCCAAAAAAGCGCATTACAATGGCGACATGTAAAAGTCTTATCACCAAAGTCAACATACTCGCATGTTTCCCCTAGAAATTACAAAGAAAATGAAAGATAATGAAAAAAAGAGAACATGGATGATATAAGGTATAAAAAAATGAATGAGAGTTGGGGAAATTTCAAGGTAAACTCACTTTTTCATTTTTTTTGGTATTCAGATTGGCCAACCAATAGGCTTTGATAAGCAATTGGTCCATGTGTGGTGTTAGTCTCAAAGCTAGTATTGTTATTGACATTTTCATAGAAGGGAAATCCATATGCAAGATATGCCTGACTTGTTGATGCTATTGATGAAAAGGTGTTATTATTCGAGATTGAATAATTTCCTTGTAAGGAAGTAGAACATGATGCACCATCATCAGTAGTATGTAAAAGCGAGTGGTCATTGGTTAGATGATTAGAGTTGTACGGTGTTGCTTGTGTGAATGAAAAAATTTTATCGCCCAAATTTCCTTCACTATAAATATGGCTTGTTGAGTTGTATGGTGAAGAAACACCAGGTCCAACATCATGGAATGGTTGTAATCTTTGTCGATTGCTAGTCATAAAGTCGTTGCTTCTAAAAGTTAAAAGATAAATTTAAATGATCAAAGATAGGCAATCAAGGCAATTTTAATAACATGGTTAGAATTGAGAATATAAATGGAAAAGAAATAAAAATTCCATAAAAGAATAAGAAATCAAACATAAAATCTAATCATGAAATAGAGGAAACATGAACACATGAAAAAAATCACATTGATTTGAAAAAAAATGAAGCATAAAATGGAAAAGACAAATACAACAACAAAGAAAGCATGAAAAATATACGCTAAGTTTGAAAATAAAGGTGCACCTGTAGCTGCAGTAAGACAAGAAAAATGTGGTGTTTTAGCTTCCTGTAACGTGGAGATAGTTGAACAATAATTGGAATAACAGACCTGCAACAAATGGTAAAAACTAAAAAGTCACGAAGCAAATTTAAATTTATGAGGTGGATAATAACAGCAACAACAAAAATACATGTGATTACAAAAATTGCAAGCAAACAATTATGAAAAATATGTTCATTCTGCTGCAAAATTCAGAGTTTTTGCAATGGAAAGAAGCAAATGTAATAATAAAGAAAGTGTGTGACATTTGTTGCAATAAACAGAGGTGGTATGAAATGAACATTTTTTTTCTCAACAAATTCTCGGTGTAAACCAATTAAGCTACAAATTATATGCAATCGAATTCAAAACATAAAACGTGTTCATTATGCTGTAAAATTTAGAGTTGTTCCAATAGAAAGAAGAAAATGAAACAAAATAAAGAAAATGAGTGGAAATTGTTGCAATAAATAGAGGTGCTACAAAATGAACAAACTTTTTTCTCACCATATCCTTGTTGTAAACCAATTTAGTCACTAATTATATGCAATGCAATTAAAGGCATTAATTCAGCCTCCAATTACATGCTCAAATTAATATCATGGGAATCAACAACATAATCTTAACAAAGAAATTTTTTTTCATGCAAGCATTGTTGAAAATAAAATTAGTCGGTCATCATATGCAATTGAATCGAAAAGCCTTGACATGAGCAATGTATACATGTGATTACAAAAATTGCAAGCAAACAATGATGAAAAATATGTTCATTCTGCTGCAAAATTCAGAGTTGTTGCAATGGAAATAAGCAAATGCAATAATAAAGAAAGTGTGTGACATTTGTTGCAATAAACAAAGGTGGTATGAAATGAACATTTTTTTTCTCAATAAATTCTCGGTGTAAACCAATTATGCCACAAATTATATGCAATTAAATTCAAAACGTAAAGTGTGTTCATTATGCCGTAAAATTTAGAGTAGTTCCAATAGAAAGAAGAAAATGCAACAAAATAAAGAAAATGAGTGGAAATTATCGCAATAAATAGAGGTGCTACAAAATGAACAAAAATTTTTCTCACCATATTCTTGTTGTAAACCAATTTAGTCACTAATTATATGCAATGCAATTAAAAGCATTAATTCAGCCATCAATTACATGTTCAAATTAAAATCATGGGAATTAACAACATAATCCTAACAAAGAAATTTTTTTTAATGCAAGCATTGTTGAAAATAAAATTAGTCGGTCATCATATGTAATTGAATAGAAAAGCCTTGACATGAGTAATGTATATTGTTGTGGAGAAAATAGAATAAAAAAAATAATGGTTAAGCACAATGTTGTTAATGATTCCAACCATATTATACGAAATCAATTCTAAAGTGATAATTCAACTGCCACTTATATACAATTTAATTCAAAATCTAACAAAAACTAAATCGTAAGGGAATGGTTTATAATTTTCCAATCAAGGTAATTTTAATAATATGACAAAAATTGAAAATTTCAATGGAAAACAATTAAAAGCAAACTACTTAATGAAAGAATAAGATTAAAAAATTGACCAAAAAAGTTAATTATGCAATAAAGGAAACATGAACATATATAAAAATCCAAATTAATTCATAAAAAAGCAAGCATTTAATGGAAAAGAAAAATACAATGACAAAGTTGCAGGCAAAAAACAGGTCAAGTTTGAAAATAAAGGTATACCTAGAGCTTGAGTGAGACAGGAAAAAGGTGGTGTTTCAATTTCCTACAACCTGGAGATAGTTCAACACCAATTGAAATAACATGCCTGTAACATATGGTGAAAAATAGAAAGTTAGCAAGGAAATTTGAACTTTAGAGATGGACAATAACAATAATAAAAAAATATGTATGATTATGAAAATCGATAAAAAATAATTATGAAAAATGTGTTTAATCTGCTGCAAAAATAATAGTCATTGCAATGAAAAGAAGCAAATGCACTAATAAAGAAAGTGAGCAGAATTTGTTGCAATAAACAAAGGTGATACCAAATGAGCAATTTTATTTTCCATCAAAATCTTGTTGTAAACCAATTCAACCACTAATTATATGCATCCACTTCAAAGCAGCGACAATTCAACCACCAATTACATGCAACTGAAATTAATTAAAGTCATGGCAATTAACAACATAATTTCAGAAAGAGAATTTTTTTTATGTAAGTGTTGTTGAAAACAAAAGTAGCTAGCAATCACATGTAATTGAATTGAAAAATCTTGATATGAGCAATGTATATTTGTTGAGAGGATAAAACCCAATAAAACAATAAT